AGAAGGCTGCCGTGGCGGTGGTTCCTGCTCTGCTGCTACGGGCTTTTTTAATGACCAGCTCGGACAGCAGCCTGGGTTTTTTTTTGTTTTTTTTGTTTTTTTGTTTTTTTTAAAGCTTTGCAAGGCTATTTGCTGATTGTATAATTCACTTTGTCGAGGGGAAAAAATCTGATAAGCAGAAGCTCTAACTGAAGAGGAGAATCAGGTTGGCACAGTGACATGTTCGGATAAAGAAGTTGGCTCAGAGAAGATGTACGGAGTCTGATTTTTATTTATTTTTTTTTTTTCTTCTCCCCCTCAATCTGAATGAAGACTATCATGGGCACTGCATTGACATGGTGATCAAAAGAAACACTTGAGTGATGAACTGCTTTTGCAGAAGTCCTCTAAGGCAGTAGTTTGAGCTTTTGTGTGCGGTAGCTAGCTTGTTTTGCCGAAGCATTCTTTCTCAACAGTATTACTGCCCGGTGAAGGAAAACGAACGCTCTGCGTTGCTTGTGTCCCTGATGGAGTAACGCCGTCTGCGTTGCTGTCGTTTGGGGAGGCTGGATTCAACCGGCAATATTATTCAAGGAGTTCATTGTCCCTGTGGTCTGACTCATCACATGTAAATGTACTGCAGCCGTGCTGTACATTGCAGATATTTTTCTTGCATGGGAAAGAATTATTTTCCTTTAAGCTGGCCCTAAATAACTGCTGGGAACGGGATGCATTTTTCTGGCTGGACTGTTTTTGACATTGAGAAAGGAAGCTGTAGAATGACAGGATGATCAGAAGGCGCATTTATTTTCAGTCACCAGAAAGCCTGCGACAGTTGATTTAAAACTGACCTTGCAGGAGTGGGTATAGCTGCGGCTGTCTCTCTCGGGGCAATTGTTCCTTGTTCTGTCTTCGACAGGACAGTGTCGTGTCTTCTGCAACAATGATTTCACTGTGGGGGTAGCAGGACGCTGTGGAAGTTGTGACATTAACAAAGACAAATTTGCTTGTGAAAGGACAGCTGTGTGCGACAGTGAGTGCTGTTCGAATGGAATTGGATCTTGGGATATTTTTATCAGCTCTTCCACAGTTTCATTATCGTGGTTTTGGTGCCTAGGGAAATTTTATTTTAAAAAGAACTTTTTTTCAGCATTGTCTTGAACATCTCAGGGTGTTTAAATCTGGAAAATGAAGTGTAAGGGGGGATTAGAATGTCCTTTTTTAAATGCTAATACACCAGCAGTAGCACTCACAAGTTTGTGAAGGCGTGTGAAGCAGGTGAAAGTATTTCCTCTATGGTCCCCGTTGTGATCTGGTTCCAAAACTACTGTTGCTGGCATTTTTTTGTTTGCCTTTGTTTCCTCAAACGGATCGAATGAGTCGAGTCTGTATTGTTGTTTTGGAGGAGGTAGAAGATGATTCTCCCACATTTATTTCCAAATTACCTCAGGAAAATGTATCTTTACGTCCATCACCCTCTGGAAATGTGCTGGTAAGGCATGTTGTTCGTTGGCGTATTTCCTGCTTATAATACTGTTGCAAATACCAATAGTAATTTTCCTAAGATTAACATGAATATGCATGATGTTGAAACAAGACAAGGTGGTAAAACCTGCCTATACTAAAGAGGGAAAAAGCTGAAAGTTAGGTGTAGAATTAATATTTGCAAGGGCTCATTCTTTTTCATGTAACCATTTATGGTGCAGCAATAACAGATCTGAACTCTTGTATAATAGCAGGGGATTTTTAGAGGGCTTGGTAAACTGTATTTTGAAGTAAATGGTTTTTCTCTGTTCCTCATTCTTCAATAGTACATTTGTGCAGTACCACTTTAGAAACTGATGTAATGATTGTATTGAAATAATATGCTGTGTTTATTTTGAGAACTGATAGAATATATAGTGTACATCAAGCAAGAGCAATTCTAAGCTAAAATAAAAAATAGCACCAGTTATAATCTTGATGTAACTGTTAGATTCAAGTTACCACTTTCTGGAAATGATCAACACGGAGGACTGTGCTTTTATGGCTTTAAATTATTTTATTTTGTCAAGTGGCTGACTTAAATCTTACTAGCATACCTCAGCAGCTTTTCTTACTTACTAAGAAATCCTGCTATATTTAGTAATAGATGTGTGTGAGTGTGAATTTGTTACCATACTTATCTGATGCACTTTGGTTTCCCATTCTGTCTAAACAGGTGAAAAACTTCTAGTAACTTTAGTCACTTGCTAATGTAAAAGAGGTTTGTTTCATTATACTGTGTAGAATGTGCAGTACATAACAACAGCCCTAATTTATTATGAGGAGTTATCTTTTCAGCTGTTATAAGCTAGTCTTCTGGGCCCTTTGCCTTTTTTTTTTTTTTTTAAATACATTTCATTGACTTATGAGTACGTTGGTGTGTTTGAGGTTTTTAAAAATTGGAATTTCTTCAATTGGAAATACTGTTGCTGTGTTGTTGGTGTTTGTGTGTTGTTTTTTTTTTATTTCACTACCTGGGATGTTTTATTTTGTCATCATCTTGTGTTTGTGTTATATATCAAAAAAACATGCGTATCACTAAAAACTAAAATGGAGTTATATTCTAAGATGTGGGTTTTCTTCATTTCAGCCACCATTGGTTCAAGCTATATTTAATGGAGATCCTGATGAAGTTCGAGCACTGATATTTAAGAAAGAAGATGTTAATTTTCAGGTAAAACCAAACATCATTACCTTTCAATGTATTTTGATTTTGTTTTGTTATAGCTTTCTGCCGTACTAATAACTTTAAAACTTTGCTAATTCATGAGCTGTAAATTTTATTGCTTTTATGTAATAGGCAAAGTAAAACCTCTACATACACTTAATACTGGGAAGGAGGAGTGTAGCTTTGTAGATTTGTGTTGATAGTAAGGACTTAATTCTATATTCTTTTCAAAGGTTAGTTCTACAGTGCTTGGGTAACTGAAAAGTTTGTTTATACAGGTGCATCAGACTTTAGAAAGTTAGTCTGCTATGTAGAATTTGATTCTTTTTAAAATAAATACAGCATATAGTATACATTAAAGAATTCTAAGAAAAGAGTCTGGGGTTTCAGTAGGTAGGTTAGTAGTGGATTTTAAAAAGGGAATTCTAATTATTATATTAATAAGTAAAAATGAGAAATTGTGTTCATATGTCCTATTTGCAGTGCTCCACACCCAGACACTGCAGACTTAAAAATTGTACTAAAATGAAATTTAATTTGTTCCATTGGGTGAAATTCAACAGCAAGCAGTTACTATATTTACTTTCTATTAAAATTCTAATATGCATGTTTGACACTATGCAAGATAATATAGCATAAACTCTTTATGTTGATCAGAAATTGCTTTGATTAGTAAAGCAGACTGACATAAACCATTTAGGGCTTAACACTATGGGAATGTATGTAGCTGTTTCTTCTCCAAATGCATCAGACTAAGCGTAATGCTAAAAAAGCAAAGGCTAACATCTAGGTGCTACACAGTGGCCAGTGTAAGACCGTGATAATTGTTTACATTTTCTTCTTGAGAGATGTACAGCAAAAGCAAATACTTAGTTTGGTATGTGTATTTTGACATTTAAAAGCATTCTGTGGAATTTATATCTGACCAATGCCAGCTGAAGTATAAGGGAACCCTCCCATTGTCTTGAACAGCTTGAGTAGGACTCTGTATAAGTAAACTGCTGTCAAATCTAAAGTTGTGTTTGATAAGGTTGGACTTGTTTTCCTCTCCTTTTTCAGTAGTTTTGCGTGTTCTTAAGCAAGATTGTATGGTGGATTATATAATACCAGAAGACTTAATCTTCTGTTTAGTTATGAGAGCATTAGCTGTGTATCCTTCCAGTCTCCTCATATGTACACTGTGGGTCACGTTGCCATTTTTATTTTTGAAAGTTGATTAGTCTGTATTGTTTCAATTATATTCTTCCATGTGTCAGTCAGGTTTAGTATTCATAGCTATAGGGCCTGTAAACAAAGTTAGGTTAGTATCTTTCTGCTTTTTTTTATTATCTGTTACAAAAGCCTCTACTAGATTTCAGTATGTATGTGGTAGTGATTTGGGTTTGGTTTTGTTCCATCTCAAGTTTTGTCAAACAGTTGCCCATAAATACGAAGTCAGCAGATATGCTTAAATAGGAAAGCATGTAATTGTTTGATGTCTTTGAAGAAGGTTACTTCAGACTGCCAGGTAGTTACAGTGAAGAAAAATACTGTAGGTAGAATATTAAAAATCTGGAGGATTTTACATCTTAAATTTTTTTTTTATTCCTTTCTGTGAATACATCTCTCTTTTTAATAGAATGTGTGTACATCTTAGGCTAGTAACAGCCAAGGTGTGTTTAGAAGCCATCCAGAACAAATAAGCTATTTTTTCCACAGGCACCTTCTTCAGCGTAGGCAAATGCTTATCACACGTGACCACTCCTTCCTACCATGGCACTTGTAGTCCTACTGCAGTATTTAATATTACATTCACATGTATCCCTTAAAACACTTTTAGTCCCACTTGTTGGGACTAAACAAGCATATAAATTCTCCCATTGTTTGGCAGAATTGAAGTAAATGTGGATTTTTCTTTGTGTCTGACTATGTGTGTGTTTTGTTACTTTCCTTGTGTTTTTTGTTTGCTGTATGTATTTGGCTGGAGATAATATATCCCTGCAAAGTCTAGATACAAAGTTGTCATCTTAGTTGTGTGTTATAAATTGGTGTGGAAAGGAGGGAAAACGCGAAGAAAATGAAGTGGTTACGTGTATTTCCTAATAAAGAGAAGGATCATGATAAACCGTTTTGACCGTTGTGGATTGTATTAGACCAGTGTATATGTTGGATTTTTTTTTCCACTTCACTATCCAAGTGCTACAGTACAGTTGTTTGAATTCCAGAGTCATTCCCTCTAATGCCTCTGCAGAATCATTTCCCCCTCTCAAGAGCAACTAATTATTTTGCAGTTTGTATTCTAATAGTTGAGATTCTTTCCTTCGTCCCTTCCCCTGAGCACAGGTTGGACTCTGTAACTAGAGACCTGGCAGGTTCTGCAACTTAATTTTGCCCAGAAGTCAACTGAAGATAGAGCTTTTGTAGGTCTATGTTGTGACAGTGACATTCATCTAGGAAAGTTGTTAGTGTCTTGATGGAACGTGGGTGGTTTTTCTTCCTTCTGTTATCATCCAGCTTCATTTACCTCTTTACTTTTGGAGTATGTTATCTTTAACATGAATCACAATTGGCTTAATACTCTTATAAAGCTAAGTGAGTTGAGTCTGTGTATTTGGCTTCCCAAGGCTAGGCTGTGGTAACTGTTTGATATTATGGTATTATCTAAAGATTGCACTCAGGTTGCGTTGTATTACAGCATTATTCCTAAAATAGATGATATCTTCTACCATAGTGTTATATTGAGAAAGATTCTGAGATGGGTGGCCTTTTATAACATGAGTTGTTGTGTGCAATAGTGGGATGATGTACTGATGGCAAACGGGCTTTTTCAGGAAGAAGGTTGTTCTCTGTTCATGCCACACCAGCCTTCTTGAGTCACGGGCTCAGTCTGGATTTAGAAAGAATATGTTGTATTCCACTCTGTAGTTGTAAACTTTTGTGGGAAAAAAAGAGCAAATTGAGTGTATCCCTAGCTGCTTACACTGGTTCAAAAAGGCTTACCTTCTCTGGAAGTTGGAAATGCACAGCTTTTTTATAGACAAAACTGATTTATAGGAACTTTGTTCAAATGTATTGTTTGGAAGGTGAAGTCTCTTGAGGCTCCAGTTAATGGAAAAAAGGGAGGGGAAGGGGTTGCTTCTCCCTCCCCTTCCCCAAGAAAGCTTGAGAAACTGTAGCTGCTTGTTTCATGAATCAGGCTTCACACACATCACCTATGTGAAACCTGACACAGTCTCTGTTGTATGCATGGCTCTTGCTATGCACTGTGTGTGTTTGTGTGTATATATATGTTTTTTAAAAAAATACTTCTTGGTACCATCCTGAGCTTTTGAGATTTGGCAGTAAGGAAAATCTTGTGTAATAACTGACACATTTAATATCTCTTTATTAGTTAATGGAGATCCTCAACATTTCCTGCTCTTGCTGATTAGATTAGTATGGCTGATTTGAATTTTATGTACTTTAGTTTTAGCTAACTAAATGATTTCAGCATTGCCTTTTATAAACCAGGATTTGTTTGTTGTTTTTGTTGGGTTTTTTTAAGATTTGGAGGCCTATCATTGTTGCAAACCATGCCATTTCTGTTTGGAACTGAAACTTTTATGATGTGTGTTCAGTTTAAAAGATCATGAAAATGGAATATATCATCTCAGCTATTCGTTAACAATACAATTTTGTGGAGGGAATACCAGCTCACTGTCAAAAATTATTTAAAGGTTGCAGATCCGATTACTGAAATGATTGTTCAAAATCAGAACCGTTTTTCCTCCTCCTAGACCTATTAGGATAGTATTTCTTGCCATGAAAAGTGATACTTCAGGTAACCCAATATGCAGTTTTTATAACCCGATTGCACTTGATCTTAGCCGAGGGAATAAACATCTGATCCTCTCTGGAACTGGTGTCAGTGTGCCCCTTGCTCTTCTCACGCTAAAGCCAAACAAGCGCTTTCTTTGGAAGAATCCCAAAATCACACAGATCTCTCCCAATGTTCAAAAGTCCTCACTGCTCCTATTTAATATAGTGATATTGACGTGTGTGATAAGTGACTTAAATATTGAACACCTGCATCTTACTGCTCATTGTGCTTTGTGAGAATAAAATAGATTTTAACTATGAAACATATTTTAAAGGTGCTTTACATGCGAGTTGGTTGGGTTTTTCCCAACAGAAAATATAAGACAGGAAAATGAAATTCCACATACTGTACTGAGGACTGTAGCAATCAAGGTTATCTGTATGGTTTCTATTCTGGACTACTTGCCATTCAGCACAACTCTTAATTTAATGGCTCTTTTCTATAGTAAGTAACCAAAAAATAAAATACAAGCTCACCTGTGCAACTGTTTTGGGAAGAAAGGAAAAAAAAAAAACCACCAAACCCCAAAAAACCATAGAAGCAAGCAATCTTGTCAGCCTTCCCTACCCCCCACCTGTATTAGACAGCAATGAAGTCTTGCCCATAAATCCCAAGTTTTTTTCCTGGGACTGACAAGGGGTGTGATTTGGTAGCACCAAAATGCTGGGTGCAAATAGGAGGGCTAAGTGTGCAAATAGGAGGGCTAAGTGTATGTATCTGACTCTTATTTTGAGCAATAGGGTTGCTGCGTGGATGACTGTTGCAGTAGAGATGTGGGCTCCATTCCCAGTCCTCCCAAACATTGGTTTGCATAACTACTTCTTAGTGTTATTTGCATACTAGGACAATGTTGCTGGATGTTGTTCTAGGGTAAGATATGACATCTTACTTGATTTCCTGTTGATTTTTCAATTTATCCTACTCTGCAGGTCATTGCATATACTGAAAGAGGAAGAAAATCGATTTGTTAGTCTAGTGACAAGTCAAGACTTCTCATACAGCATTGGCCCTGGGTACCAGGAGAACTAGATTATCAAGGGTCTCAAATATTCTAGTAATTTAGGAATGAGTAATGAAAATTAAAGCATAGTTTACAAGCCAAGAAAGATTCTTTGTGATGCTGGTATTGGTCAGCAAAGTCGTAAAAGAGGTTAAATAGTAAAAATAG